ATATATATATATCATACAGGGCCCATTAATTCCCCACGTCCATTCCCAACCTACAAAATAAAAACTGACATACTCATTTTAATACAAAAATGTCTTTTTTTTCAATGTCTTTTGCATAATCTGTTTTAATATTTTATTTCTATTTTGTATTAATTGATATATCTCCATATTTATAACTTGATATTCACATATTTATATTTTGTTTTCAGGTAGGGGCAAAAAAACCAAAGTAATGAAGTGACTGAGTATATTCTCACAGAATAGATTTATTCCTTCATTACAGGAGTTGGACCTGATCCTTATGGGTCACTTCCAACTCAGGATAGTCTGTGATTTTAAAATCAAAATTTATTAGCTTAAAAGCTGCAAGCACAGCACTGCCTCCCAACCACAAGAGCAATTGCAGGAGCAATTAGAGGCAGCTTGGATGGTCCTTTGCTGCCAGCAGAGTTAGTTATTTGTTTGTTTGTGTGTTTGTTTGTGCTTTGTTTAACAAAGCAGCACAATGTGAACACTGTGAAGGTTTACAAGGCTGCCAAGCAGCAGGGATGGAAGAGAGGATTCTGAAGCACCTGAGGATTCTGAAGCACAAACATTTCCTAACTGTCTGTTCTGATGGAGGGGGTTGGAATGAGATGAGCTTTAAGGTCCCTTCCAGCCCACCCCTTTCTCTGGTTCTGTGACCCCTGCCAGGCCTGGGAAAGCTCCCTCTCCTGACTTTACATCCATACCTGCCTGTACAATGTGGATTCCAGCTCAGACTCCACAACACTGTCAGAGTCTCTGGCAGCTTTCAGGGCTTGCTTCACCTGCCAAGACCAAAGGAAAACGACCTCATTATCCACAGCAAAACAAGGTGTGGAGAACAGCACTAATCCCAGCTGGGTACCTGTGAGACAGCCTGGTTGAGAGAAACCAGAGGCCTCCTCTTCTTCTCCTCGTAGCTGTTGTCACTGGAAGCCCCCTCCATGCTGGGGCACAGCAGGAGCCGCTGGGCCGCGGCCTCGGCATCCTCAGCGTCCTCCTCGCTCGACAGCTCGTCAGAAACACCGTCCCTGTTGGTGCCATCCTCCTGAAATGCACAGCCAAGGCCCCACCAAGGGCCAGCCTGAGCCCCATCAAAGGCTCAGGGGCAGAGCTGCCCCCTGGCACAGCCCTCAATGCCTGCAGAGGCAGCACACAGCCCCCACAGGACCAGAACTCTGCTGGCATCAGAGACTTCAGCTTTTAACTCATTCCCCCTGCTCTTGTCCTGTCCCAGAGGTAATGAGAGAGAATTTTGGGTGGGTGGATTTGGAGCTGGGGAAAGGCAGCAAGAGGAGGATGCAGCAGCAGCTCTTGGCTGTGCCTTACCAGCACCTTAAGCCCAGATGTATCTATGAGTTAGAGAGTAACAAACCCAAAATCCTGGGCTGTGCCCCTACACTGAGCTCTGCCCCTGTCCAAAATGCTTCACAGAGAGGAGGTGGGATGGCACAGTATGGCAGAATCCAAGTTCTTCAACTTGGCCAGGGGAAACTCGAGTAATTCCCAAAATCTTTACGTTTCAAAGCTTTCAACAGAGGTTATGATGCTTTAGCTCCTTCTCTTTCCTCAAGGAGAGAAGGTGGAAGGTGCCCCTACCCATGGCAGGGGGTGGAATGAGCTTTAAGACTCCTTCCAACCCAAACTACTCTGGAATTCTATTCTTGATGATGGAAACAAAGTACAGCACCTTTTCAGCTGCTCAGTGAGAGGCAGAAAGGGGTTTCTAGGTTAATGCAGGCAAACATGAGCAAAAGGAGGGAATATCTTGTATTAGACCAAACCATCCAGTTAAATACCCACCCACTTCTGGCACACAAAGAACACACTGAAAGTGTGATTTCAGAGGATCTCCCCTGGCAGTACCTGATGGCTCCTCTCCCCATCAGAAAGTTTACTTTTCTCTTTGGAGTGCAGCAGCCTGTGCTCAGATCTGGCCTGTCTGGCTTTGATGCCATCACCTGTAGCACTCACAGCACTTTCTGTCTCAGTCCATTTCTCAGCTACCAGCTTTACTCTTCTATTCCTAGGAGAGAAAGTACAATTAAATGCTTTTGTCAGGGAAAAACTCTTTGGGGTAAAACATTCTGGTCTTCCCTTGTCACAGGCGCAGCATCAAACAAGATACCTAAGGGATAAATCATTTTCTTTGGCTGACAGGCTTTGTGTACTGAGTCTGTTAAAAAGATTTACATCTGCTTCACCCTCATTCAACATGTCTTTTGTAACTCTAATAGTATCTTAAAACTTTTAAATCAAGGGGAAATTTTTCATTATTTTTATTTTTAAAAAAATAAGAGCAATTCAGAAAACAAAAAGTCCTCATGAAGAGAAAGCACCTGTGAGTTGGAAACTCACCAGGAAATTCACCTGGGAAAACAGGAGAAAACAATCAAATATTATCCCCTGCAATCTCTCCTCCTTTTCCTTGAGCTACTTTTAGAGAAGGAAGATGCCAAAGTGAGACAACTGCCCAAACCAGAAGGCACAATTGCTTTTGGAAATCACCTAAAACAGCAATATAATCTGAGCACTCAAACAAGGTCACTTATCTGATAAATAAAAATAAACTCCACCACATTCTGCAGCTCATCCAACACTTGGTTTCACATGATCTAATTTTACACAGGCTAATTTTATATGATCTAATAAGGACATACTAAATATTCCTGAGGAATCAGCTTCCCACATTAGCAGGGAAGTTTTAAAGACTGGCAGGCTGTGGGGATGTCAGTGACAGCACAGGCTGTGCCTTCGTTCCCCAGGTACCAAACTGCCCCCAGAGTCACGAGCAGCACAAAGCCAGCAGGGACCACGTACCTCCTCTGGAAGAGCAGACTGGATAAATTGGTCAGCAGAGTTGCAGAGCCAGCCTGCTCCTCCTTGCTGCTTCTGTCAGGAGAGCACCAACTGTTCCCATCCACACCCACAGCCTTGCGTAACTTCCTGGGTTTGAGACAAGGAGAATTAAATTGGTGTAAGAAGCTACTTTAAGGAGTTTTTAAAAAGATCTGAATGAGATTTGAGCAGCTTTTTGGATGCCATTTTTCTGAAGCCATGCAGAATAGACTTCCAGATACAAAAATTCTGCCTATACCCCCAGCACGTCAGGGGGAAAGGCACAAGGGACAAAACCAGGAGGGAATCTTTGCTGCAGCAACCTGAGGGAGGAAAGCTGGACCCAGCCCCAGCTGTGACCCCACCCAGGGCCCTCTGCTGGTGCTGACCTGCGGCGCCGGCTGAGCCCGTTGCTGCCTGCAGCTCGGTTCACCTGCGTGGACACGATCTGGCAGTGCACTGTCCCCAGCAGCAGCATAAGGCACAGCGGTCCCATCACCTCGCTGGCACTCACTGCAGGCACCATGAAGTACAGCACCACTGCTACGACTGCAAAGGGGGAATGGCACCAAGGCAAAAATTAAAGAGTCTGTCTCAACTATTTGTTTTTACTCTGCTTTGTTGTATTATTATTTAATTTCTGCAATTGCTAGTGCCACACGCTGTGAAATGCACATTAAGCAGGTTCCAGACAAGATCCTCACACTTTAGATTATGGAGTACAAAATCACAGACTCACTAAGCTTGGCTGTGCCCTCTGAGTCCACCCCTAACCCATTTCCCCAGAAGCCACATCCAAACGTTCTTTGATGTCACATTCCTTGCAGGAGAAGGTTTATGGCACAGCCTGTTCCCTCACCTTGCATAACGTAGAGCACCAAGAGCCACATAAAAATGCGCTGGGAAGTGACCTGTATCCACCACTGGCTGAACAAGGGGAAGAACACCACTCTCACAATTCCCTTCCTCGTCAGCGATGTCCAGGGAATTTCGGGCTTGGCTTTGGCAAAGGTAGAGCCTTGGAATTAAAGGGGGAACGAGCCATCATTAACTGTGAATCACAAGAGCCGCCTTGCTGGAGTTCCCCTTTGGGCACAGGGCTGAGCAGGGGTGACAGCAGCCCAGTTTTGGGCATTGTTCAAAGTGACACAGTCCCAGCAGCTCCTTGTGTTCTCTCAGAGCTCTGCCCCTGCCCCTTCCCTGCCCACCCAGCCCCTCCTGCAGAGCCACCCCGAGCTGCTCCCGCTCTGCTCTCACGGTTTCAGTGCCCACGGGCAGGGGCTCCCCTGGCAGCAGGGCAGGCTCTGCTTCGTCCACCCTGCACAAAGCTGGGGTGCACCTGCAGAATCAGGGAATGTCCTGGGCTGGAAGGGACCCACAGGGATGGCCAAGTCTCTGCACAGACCCCCAGCAATCCCACGCTGGGCATCCCTGGCAGTGTTCTCCTGGAGCTCTGGCAGCCTGGGGGCCGTGCCCATTCCCTGCGGAGCCCGGGCAGTGCCAGCACCCTCTGGGGGAGGAACCTTTCCCGATATCCACTTTAACCCTGCTCTGACCCAGCTCCAGGAGCTCCCTGGTGCCATCCCTGTCCCCGAGGGGAGCGAACAGAGCCAGCACCGCTCACCGCTGATCAGATCCACATCGATCAGGTCGGGCTGGATGTGCCCCTTTTTCTTCGGCTTGTTCTTGAAGCCCTGCGGGGCGGAGCACAGGGCCGAGTTAGCGGCGAGGGGCGCGGAGCCCGCCCCCTCCTCCCCGTGCCGCGGGTACCGGTACCTTCATCTGGGTCTGCTCCACGGCCTTCTCCCATATCTGCTGGTCGTAGGCCCCGATCTGAGGGGAGAGGAGGCTGAGGGCACGGCCGGGCCCGCGCCAGCCCGCCCCGCGCCGCACTCACCTTCTTCTGGTACCATGAAATGGCATCGTGACAGGCCATGGGAGCGGCGGGAGCGGCGCGGCCCCGGCACCGACACTGGCCCGGTACCGACCCCGGGCCCAGCACCGACCCCGCTCCCGTTACCCTGGAAACCGCCCGGCGCTCGACTGGCCCCCCCCCCCCCCCCCCCCCCCCCCCCCCCCCCCCCCCCCCCCCCCCCCCCCAGGCAGCGCCAGCCGAGCGCCGAGCGCCGCCCCGACCCCCCCCCCCAAAGCCGTGAAGGAAAGAAGCGCCCAGGCGGGTAAAGGACAAAATCAGACTTTTGTTTATTAAAAAAATACTTTACAGGAAAAAAATTCTATGCATTCCGCAGGACTATTTTACAAAGAAATAGCTTAACAGTTTGACACTGGTGTACAGTCAGCTACCGGGGGCGCGGGCCGCCCCGCACACGCGCGAATGTCAATAAATACACTAAGGCCGCACAAAGCAAACAGTCGTCCAGGCAATTGTACACGTCCTCTGGAGCCAGAGACCTTAGATAAATTAAAACCACAGAAAAAAATAATCGTAGCTGCCAATCAAATCAAATGAAATCACGAAACAGCAATACAGGAGTCGGTATCTTTACATGTTGTATAGAGAAATCAGGAAAAGCGGGTGTGTGGGTGCTCGGGGTGCCCTGGCACTGCTCGGAGCCCTCAGGAGGGGACAGAGGAGGCTCTGGGGAACAGGGACAAGCCCTGGGCTCCTCTCGCAGCCCTCAGGGCTGCCCAGGCTCAGCACGCCTGGGGAACTGCAGAGTTCAGCACTCAGCTCATGGGGAAAGCTCTGACAATTTGCCTGACCTGTACCACGCAGGGAACCTGGCAGGGCACAGCAGGACACGGGGAAAAGTGTCCCTCAGGATGCCCTGGGGACACCTCGTGGTGTCCCCCCCTCCTGGAACAGGACCTGGAGCTTGTCTAAAAGAGAGGAAACCAAATTCACCCTGCATTTGCTGGCCCACTTCTAGCCCAGCTGAGCCACTTTTTCCCCGGGATGTTTTAGTCACCAGCACTTGATTAAAGCCCAGCCTAAGCCTCAGTTCTGTTTCACAGCGCACTTGGTCAGTGACAGCTGGCCCCAGCACAAGGCTGGGGTGTTTTCTACCTGACACACATCACAGAGCATAAATGGAGCACTGAGGATTTGCAGAACCGACCAGCACATTTGTATTTAGGAACTGTTCTGTATCTGCTTTCCACTGAGAGTAACAGAAAGTTAAGACCTTAAAAACCATCCAGTCCCAGCTCCCTGCCACGTGCAGGGACACCTCCCACTGGGCCAGGATCCCCAACCTGGCTTTGAAAACTTCCCAGGCTGGGGCATCCACAGCCTCCCTGGGCAGCCAGATCCTCACAACCCATCACATCTCTTCCTTATCTCTCACCTAAATTCCTCCTCTTTTGATTTGTGCCCATTTCCCTTGTCCTGTCACTCAGCTCCTGATGAACAGCCCTGCAGATCTTGGAAGGTGTCCACACTGAACAGACCCAGCTCCCTCAGGCTTAGAACAAGCCATCAAATGTGGCTCAAAAAACCACATCAAATCAAAGGTGATTAGCTCATTAAGGAGTCTGCTTTAGGAAATATTGGAGAAATTCAAATAGCAGCTATTTAACATGAGATATTCAGGAATATTTACTGGATTTGTTCTGCTCAAACACTAAATGGCTTGAACTCATTACTTCCTCTCTAAACTGCTCTAGCTCATGAAAAAATCAGTGTTCTACAGGTCCTGGGCTGGAAAACATTTGCATTTGTCCCATTAAGGCTTTGTTCTGGGAACCTGAAGCAATGGTTGGAGACTGAGCAGCTTCCCAAGCAATCCCTCTCACACTTTACACCCAGAGTTGAGGTGGAATTTGAAAGTCTGCCAGTTTGGTAAAAGCACAGCAAAGCTGAGCATGGATTTAGTAAGAGATTCTCAAGCAGCTTGTTCCTCTCTCCCTCAGTCTTCCAAAATAGGATAGCATCAGCAACATTCAGGTCATTCAGATACCTTTATTTATGTGCATTTAAATCTGACATCAGGTTTAAGTTAGTAACTGAGCAGAGCACAGAGAGCACACTGCTATTGGCCATGTCCCTCCATGCAAGAGGAAGTCAGAGCATTTTCCAGCTATTTCAGGCTGTTGTCACAGATTTCACTAAAGCTACAGCTTGGAAAGCAGCACAGACCACCCTTCCTTCACTTGCAAACACGCTATCAGAATTTACAGAGGACTTCCAAATGGACTCTCTCTTCCTTCCATCCCAATTTCCCAATTACCTGGTGGTGCCTGGGGGCTCTCAGCCTGGTTGCTCTGCTGGCCCTGCAGGTGTGGCAGTTCCTGAGAGAGCAGAGCTGGCTGCCAGGGGAGGGCTGGGAGCAGCAGGGACAGGCAGAACGGGCACGTGGAAGACTCGCAGACTTGGTCAAAAGGAAAGAACACCCCTGGGGAATCTTTGAATGTGAAGGATGAACTGAAACCACTATTGCCTGTGAGGAATTTTACTTTGCACAACCCTTAAAGCTATGAAATTCCTCTCAACATAAAAAGTGGAAAAAACCCACCAGAGAACCGACGGCTCCCTCTGAGCCGCGCTGAGTCATCTAGAATTTCTGCTAAGATTAAATTACACCCCTGCATGAATCACATTACTTCTCATCATAAAAGCTTTCCATTCTAACACCTTATTTACACAGATTACTAAACGAGTCACTACCACTTCAATCTGTAAATTAGTTTTAAATTGAAATATTTCCTAGTCCTCATTTTTGTACCGAAGACAATACATACATACACATAAGGAGTAATACAGGTTCTAACTAATCACTGCAGTATCTTCTGAGGATTATTTCTCTATCAGTTTAAAATAGTGACCTCTACACTGAGGTGCTAATATGTATATAAAAGCCTACACAAACAATATTGCACAAAGTAAGATTTATAATAGAGTAACATATTTTAGAGACCCTTATAAAGAGAAGAGTAATAATTGATATTAAAAAGATGCATCCAGAACTAACACAGCATCTTTGCTTTTGTCTAGTCTAACATAGTGTTTCAAATCTTTCCTACCCCAGTGAGGATTAGAACAAATAAAGTTATCTGGAGACAGCTTAAGTTGCACCAAACCCCAACTTGTACTCTAAATGTGGGGAGGGGGGAGGGAAAAAGGACTTTTCCTTTTTTATGACTGGAAAGGGCAGTAATAAATGGGGTGAGTGAAAGTCAAATACAGGTTACACATTAACATCCAGAAATATTGAAAGATTGTTTAAAAACTGTTGATAGCTGACACTCTACACATTGAGCACGTGCTGCTGATTTTTCCACAGTAACTGGGCACCCAGGAGCTACACATGGAAAAAGCAGTCCAATGCCAAAAGACTTTTTATTGTGAAATACTAATACAGAACTTACACAGTAAGGCTGTCCTTATTCTAGGAAGTCAGGTATCAGCTCAATGCTTATTATATTAAGTGCATCAGTACAAGGGAAGGTGTGGATCCATTGGACACGTTATGACCCCATCAAAACAAGCTGCCAAGTTGGTTAAGTATTTTAAAGCCTTAAAGTGCTCAAAGATAGCAGTTTCCTCCACAAGACTACCAAGAGGTTCTCTAATTTTGACACTAGCATTTATCACATTCAGGGAAGATGTATTTTGGAAGCAAAAACCCCCACACCAAACAACATAAGCAGTGCTATGAGAAGTGTTAGGTCAGTAAGTCATTGCATTTCAACAGGAATCAGACACTTGCTTCAGTTCATTTTACAGGTCACCCTTGTAGGAACTGTAAGAAACATCAATTTCTATAGCTTGTATATAAACCAACATGTCAAGAACAGACATACCAAAAATTCCACAAATCATCAAAAGTGCTGTGCTTTCTCTATTTTTCTTCTTTTTTCTTTTTTTT